GTCCGCACGTGTCCGCCACACTCAGTAAAGCGTTTCATGGCCCCACGGGGAGGTGCACATGCCCGCATGCGTCCGCCACTCCCAGTGCAGCGCTTCGTGGCCCCATACGGAGCTCCACCGAAGGCCCCAGTGGGACCGCCCGCACGCGCCCGCCACAACCAGTATAGCGTTTCGTGGCCCCATGGGGGGCCCCACCGAAGGCCCCAGGTGGACCGCCCGAATGCGTCCGCCACACCCAGTACAGCGCTTCGTGGCCCCATAGGGAGCTCCAGCAAAGGTCCCAGTGGAACCGCCCGTATGCGCCCCCCCCACTCAGTACAGCGTTGCGTGCCTCCACATGGGGGCCCCACCGAAGGCCCAAGTGGCACCGCCCGCATGCGTCTCCACAACCCACTACAGGGCGTCGTGGCCCCATAGGGAGCTCCACCGAAGGCCCCAGTGGGGGTGCCTGCATGCGCCCCCCCCACCCATTACGGCACGCCCCATCACGCGTTGCGTGGCCCACCGGAAGCGGCACCCACAACGCGTTACTCACAATTGCACATGGTTCGGCCCTTCGCCCGGAAAATGTTTGACAACGATGGCGGGGGTGTCAACATATTCCCTGCTGTGCGCAGGGCTACCGTCCCTGACAAAAAACCATACAACGTGCACCTCGCGGCTAAATCTGGATCATGCGCGGCCATCCCGCGATCACTGTCAAGTGGTTTTTCACAGGGGCGGAGGGGGTGGTGCCACGTGGCCTGCTGTGCGCAGGCCCACCAGGCACAATGATGGGCATCGGCTTTCGACAAGGATGGCGGGGACCGACATGTTTCCCGATGTGTGCTGTCACGAGCGCAGGCGCACCTGACGCACACTGCACGTGCTCCGAACGCGGCGCACCTGGCGCGGCTGGAGCGTGAGGCACACCTGGCGCACTCGGAGCACGTGGCGCTTCTGGCGTACCAAGCGTGCCAGGCACGCTCGGGCCCCAGGGGTGCCTGGCGCGCGTGGCGTCATTGGCACGCGTGGCGCACCTCGCCCAAGGGTCGCGCACCTGGGGTCGGCATTGGTTCCCAATAGCTGTCCAGCCAAAGACGACCGCTGAACATACTCAAGCTCGGGTGTCACTTATGTGTAGGGAGGGCGGGTGGGAGTGAGCTTGACGGCTTGCGAGCGGGTGAGTAGCTTGACCCCTCCTCCTACCCCCTCCCCTTGGGCCTGGAGGTTGGGCGCGGGTGGTCGGAGCGCCTGCTTTGGCCTAAGATGGCGCCAAGACAGCCCAAGAGAGCTCAAGCCGACCTCCATGATCCCTCAAGACAGCCCTCGATGACTCAAGATAGCTCCTAACAGGCCTGCACGAGGCTCCAACACCGCCCCAAGACGGCCCCAAGTGGCCACGGAGCCTCCCGAGGACGCCCCAGGCACACGTTTCAAACACCTGAGGCAAATCAATATTGTTTGCCGCCTTCTCGCCTTTTTGCTTTCAATGTGCTCTTGAGGCTTCAAGATGGCCCCAAGATGGCCCAAGACAGCCCCAAGACAGGCCCTAGAGATGCCCGAGACGGGCCGAAGATCGCCCCAAGAGCGCCCCAAGAGCGGCCCAAGAGGCAACCTTTCGGGTTTGGAAGGGGGGGCGTAATTGACGCCGTGCTCCTTTTTGAGCCGTGGCCTCCAAGATGGTCCCAAGAGACCTCCCAGACCCCCAAAAGAGCCCCAAGAGGGCCCCAAGAACCCCCGAAAGAGCCCCAAGGGTGCCCCAAGAGGGACCACGAGGACCCAAGGAGGGTCCAGATACCTGCAACATAGTCCCCAGGAACGACAAACCTAGAAACGCATTCATGGTTGACTTCGTCGTCGTCGTCGTCGTCGTCGTCGTCGTCGTCGTCGTCGTCGTCTTCGTCGCCGTCGGAGGCAACATCGTTGTCGTGGTCATCGTCATCGTCTTAGCTGTTCGTTATTTGTGTCTCTCTCTCTCTCTCTCCTCCTACCGCCTGTCTTCCTCCTGCTGCGCCTCGTCCTCCTCCCACTGCCCCCCACAAGGATGAAGAACAGCAAGTAGGTAGGTGGGCGGAAGAGGAGGAACTATGCGAGAGCAGGAGGAGACACGCCCGAAAGTCACGACCGTCGATGTGCGTCGCAAAATCTGCTGTTTTGGGATGGGCTGGTGGGGATGCGCGAAGCGTGAACAATGAATCCAACATCCAACGAACACGAAGAACATTAGGGAACCCTCCCTGAACCAGCCTCGATCGTAGACCTCGGTCCGACTGTATATCCGCCCGACACTTAACCGACCAGTATGGTTGAGCCATCAACTTCGAGAGCACGGATCGCCCTCACCCACAGTTGACGGACACACAATCTGAGGAAGCCCCAGGGCGATAATCAAATGTTCACAATGAGCCGCCCTCCATCTCAATACATGCAGCTGTTGTGCGCTTCCTGGTGACCCCCATGAATCTGGCGGAATTGTGGATCGATAGCCACATGTTGAAACAGCACGGCCCTGCATCCGACTAAAAGCTGCAGATGCTTAAGACGCACATGCGCAACGCAGAAACGAAGTGGGCACGGTGCAAGCGCCCACCTCCGCCAGTATGAGTGCTGGGAGCGCATCAAGCGAATGTGCGCGGCGCAGAGGCGAACACACCACTGAACAGATCACCCGACCCTCATCCGCGTCGCTGCTGGTAACGTGTACAGTCAAAAACCCTAACAAGGACGCATCACTTTGCTCAGGGTACCCTTGCGTCCTTGCTCTTCCTTGCTCTTGCGTCCTTGAGGTGTTCGTCGTCCGCCGCCCAAAAATCCCAACTTCGGCTTCCAAGGGTCTTGCGTCCTTACCGCGCGTGCTTATTAGGGTCTTTGACTGTAGGGCACACGCGAGTGCTGCGAGGGTTAGACCCACAGCCTGACATCGGACTGAGCTCTCCGCCTGCGCAGCTGTTGGCGCAACTCCGGCCATGAGGACGCCTCACGCGGGTCGGGCGAAAGGGGGGGATAGCAAAGGGGGGGTTTGAGACTCAGCTCACGTAGCTGATTTTCCCGGCGCCTCCCGGCGCCAGAGGCGGCCATGTGTCGAGGAATGGGCCCCTCGGCGAGGCCGAAACCAGCTGCATGCAGCAAATTTCGTACCCCCCCCCCTTTCCCAATGCCCCCCTTTCATCCGGCCCGACTCAAGCGGAACGCAGAATCCATCCTACTGACAGGCGTCTGGTCCCTCCTCTCCCACAACGAGCACATGACAGCATAAACACGTAGGCCAGCACGTGGCCCGCACTGATGTCTCGTCCACACATAATCCCAATGATCCACGAGAAGGTTCTCAAAGGGCGGACAATGTTCAAGGTGTGCCTCTCGCCTTGGCGCCGCGCACGCTGGTACTAGAAGCTTACCATGCTGCTCCTTTCCAAGTTGGCTCTCCCCTAGGGCACCCTCAGAGCTCACGAAACCCAGTGACGCGAATAGAGAGAGAACGGTACCTTTTGACCTTGAGCCGCTCGCTGGGGGCATCCGTAGGTTCTATCGGTGGGATGGAGCGCGCTTCGCGCGCGCTCAGGCGCACTCGTCTTAGAGCCTAGCATATAGCGCGAAGACGGGTCGTGTCAGAAACAGATGAGCTGATGCTTGCGACACCAACCCGCTCGCTGCTGACGGCGCAGTTGGGGATTCGGCGTGTGGTGCGGGGCGCGCAGCAACATCCATGTACAGTCGGCCTCGATTGGACAGGACACGCGAGAGGACACAAGACCCTCCCGAGGGCCACTTCGCCACAGGAGTGTAAGAAGGCACGTGTCGCGAGGCACAATACACAAGCGTACCCTTGAGCTGGCAGGGTTGACCTACTAATCCGGGCCGACTCTACGAGGGATGGAAACACGCCCCTGGCCTGGGTTGCGAGTGCGTGGCTTGTAAGCCTCCGGGGGGCTCCCCAAGGCCTGAGCGTCGGCAGTGGACAAACCTCCCTTTTGTAAACCTCCCCTTAGGGAAAACGGCCTGGGACCGAAACCGACGGACCTGGACCCGCAGGAATGACGGCCGCGACGCCCTCTCGCGAACCGAAAACGGCCAATTCACTAATCGACGTGTCAGGGTAGGAGGGCTGTCCGCCCCCGAGAGAGAGCCGCCGGGCCGCCGCGCGGCACGCAGGCCTTGCCCCCCTGTCGGCCCACAGAAGGCTCAGCGCACAGCGCCCCGTGGGGGGGGCGCCCCCGAGAGGCCTCCAAGACGGCCCCAAAGGCGTTCAGGAGGTCTTCCAGGAGGGCACGACGAGGCCAGAATCACTGATTTTCCCGAGGATGTTGAAAGCGTTTGGCATTTGTGCTTCCTGCGCCCTCGAAGGCGTGCGCGCGCAGCGGCGTGAGCCTCCCCCCCCCCGCCCCGCCCCGCGCCCTGGCTCCGCCGGCCGCGGGCACGAGGAGGGCAGGTTGAGCAGGGACCGACAGTCACGGCATTCCTACAGTCAGACCAGGACATGTTCGTAGAACCCAAAAATGTTCTAAGAACAAAAACAATGCTCTTAGAACATCAGCCCGATGTGTCAAAACAAGACAGACCAAGCCAAACATGTTCCGAGAACATTTCGTGGGAACCACAAAAGGTCTTAGATTATTGTTTGGTGGGGCTATCGGCGAGCCGGGACGCTTCGCCACTGCTTGAGGCAGAGCGGCCAGAGGCTTGGGGAGGCGACAGCCAGCTGGAGGGAGGGGAGGAGGCGGCAGGAAGAGAGCGAGAGGCAGGAGGGGGGGTGCGGAGGACGGGTGGGCAGAGGAGGGCCAAGGAGGAAGGAGGAGGACGAGGGGGGAGAGGCAGGACGAAGACGGTCAAGGGCGATGTGGAGGACGCCGGGCCCGAGAAACCGCATGATGATGCTGAGGGGTAAGAAGGATCAGTAGAAGAAGGATGATGAAGAGCAACGATGATGAGTATGCTTACAAGCAAGGGCGAAAGGGCGTTACAAGGAAGCAGTGATGTGGGTGGGCCGACGCGGGGGGGTAATCCTCCTGTTCCTTTCCATGCTGCTCTCGAACATTCCCATCCTCCACATCATCCCGCCGTGAGGCTTTCGCACTGCCATCTGCCGGCTGCACGCGGGCCCACTGAGCCCGCCTTGGTAATCTCTTGGGGCACTCGGGTGGCCTCTTGGGGCCACTCCGCCTTCTCCTCCACCGCCACCGTAACCGCCTCCGTGGGGCTCCCGCGCGGCCATGTCTTGGCCGCCATCCGGTCCTCTGTGCCCTACTTGGTGTCCTCTTGGGGCACTCGTGCTGCCTCCGTGGGCCACTCCTCCTCCTGCTCCTCCTCCTCCTCCTCCTCCGCCGCAGCCTGCTCAGTTGGGCACTCACGCGGGCAATATTGGCCGCATTCGGGCCCTCTGCGACTGTCAAGGTGTCCTCTTGGGGCACTCTTGTCCTCCTCTTGCTGCTTCTCCTCCTCCTCCTCCTCCTCCTCCTGCTCCTCCTCCTCCTCCTCCTCCTCCTCCTCCTCCTCCTCCTCCTCCTCCTCCTCCTGTAGCCTCCTCCGTGGGAGTCAATCGCGGCTCTCTTGGGACCGTCTTTGGCGTCCCTCCAGACGCGGCGGGACCGTCGTAAGGCCCTGCTGTGGACCTGCATTGGGATCCTCCGTGGGTTTTTTTGCTTCACTTTGGGGTGATGTGGAGCCCTCTTAGGCTGCGCTGGGCTCCTCTGGGGCCTTATTGGGCAATGTTGCTGTCGTGGGCGTTCTCAGGGCCCGCTCGGGCCGTCTTGGGCTGCTTCGGAGAACCTCTGTGGCACTCTTGAGGCTCTCAAGGGCAGTCTGTGGCCATACGCGGATCCTATTGGAACTATCTTTGGGCTCTATTGGGGATAGTTTGGGAGCTGGTTGGCTCCTCCGAGGACCTCTTGAAGGTAGATGTTGCCAACAAGTACAGAATCTCAATTATTTGCCTCTGCCTTGCCGAAGGCATACCTATGGGACCAAGTCTGCGATGCTATATGGATTTGGTGATGCGCGTGCTGGTCCTCTACACTGTTGACGCACATGGCCATCGCAAAATAATTAAGCCGACAAGGAGGCCCAAAGAGGACAGAAACCGAGAGGAGCTGTAACCGCCGCTGACAGAGTGAGCGCCTAGCGGAGCAATATCTTCACTGACTCCGATGTTCCCTGAATGACCCCAATACTCTGTCTGCAAAGCATGACAAAGTGCCGTAGTTGCAAGTCAAGTGCCTGTGGTGCGCGTGATGTGCCGACGAGGAATAGCCGAGCATTCTGATCGACAGCTCGTTCGGCAGATGATTGGCCACCTCCAGGGAGTACCACAAGAGAACAAATACCGCGTAGGCAACGGCGTGGAGTCCGACTATGCTGGCCGAGATCCGAGGCACCATGAGGAAGATCAGCAGCGTGGAGCAGTGTTCTGCAGGAGTCATGCTCGCCGTGTCGTACCATCCGCGATGCGGTGCGACCTGCTGATGGTGATGCTTGTGCACCCACGCGTAGAGCCATGGTTGATGCATGACCCTGTGCCACAAGGCATACAGGAAGTCGAAGCCCAAAAAACAAATCGCGAAAGAGGCGATCGTGTTCCAGAAGCCGATGTCGGATGGATGCTTGGAAACATCATCAGAAATAGCGAACGCAACAGAATGTAGTATCACAGTCAACTCGGTAAAATTGTTTACGCAAAGATATGCCAATTCGAGCATGCCAAAACCAGCATGAGTCAACCGTCGCTTGGATGGGGCTGCCCACTGGACAATACTCTGAAGAGCTCGTTCCCATACAAGTTTACCAGGCAAGAAGGCCAAGACATACAACGAATGCTGCCACAAAAGCACGCCAGGCACAGGACATATAATCCAAAATGAACGATTCATGACGTTTGGCACAACAGTAAGGCTAACCGAAAAACTAAGAATGCCGGCATTCACTATGGACATGCTCCAGATGACGAGCAAAAAAGGCAAAGGCATCCACAGCCATCGTGGGAACAGCCATGCAGAGTCGGCATCGCTGGCCATCGATGTTTCCAAGAATGAATGAACGAACGACTTCTGTGTGCGCTCCACTAATGGCAAAAAAACGTCCCCTGCAACTGGACCCCCCTCCGAAAATCCCTGCCACTCCTTTCCAGAACCAGGGACTTCCCCCGCCCTGCCGGCAAGAACTCCCTCCCCCACGCCCCCCTCGAAAGTCGGAAGAAGGATGGTTCGGCCTCCCCCCACCCCCACGGCCAGCAAACGACGACGTTGTCGTTTGCCAGCGGATCGGTCAGGCGGGCGGGAAACGTTTTCGTCGTGGGCGAGTCGGTCAGGCGGGCGCGCGGGACACGTCGTCGTCGCCGTGGTGTACTTTATCGTTGTTTGCCGGCGTCGAGAGCGGGAGCTCGACCCAACACTTGCCCAGCATTCACAACTTTCGCTCTGGAGAGCGGGGACGAGGCTTCGATCCCTCCCCCCGCCTGACTCTTACTCTTACGGGGGGGGTCGTACCGCCCCCGTGACTTCCCCCCAGCGCACTCAGAAGACGCTCTTCCAGATCTTGCTAGCCACGCGTTTCGGGCCAAGATGCCTTGAGCCTAATGCTTGCCATCGGTGTGGGCATCCTCCAACATGACAAGTCCTGGGATATTCCACAGGTGTTGGCCGATTTGGTCTCATGGTCCTCGTGGGGTCCTTTCCTGGCCTCTCGAGGCCGTGTTGGGGCCCTCTTGGAGCATCTGCGGCTCTGGTGGTAATTGTTCGATCCGGGATAGGCCCGTCTTGGGGCACGCCGAAGGCGTTCAGGTCGTTTGGAGCTCCAGGAGGAAATCCGACCCGTGTCGGGGGGAGACCCTATAGCCTAATGCGGGATGACGATTAATAAAAAGATGGGAGAGGACGATTTTTTAAAAAAGTTCCCTGCTATTTCTGCACAGCTTTCTGACTGGAGGAGAACGATTTTAAAAATAGTTTTCCAGCCCGCGGCCGGTTTTTCTAATCGTCATCCCGGGCGCCGCCGCGTGAACACGACCCCCGGTCATTTATTAATCGTCATCCTCCATTAGCCTATGGGGCCGAGTCTCGCCGATGTGAGGGGCCACCGGAGCTGGAAGCCGTGCGACAATTACACGCGTGGTGGGTGGTTCCGTGTCCGATTGAGCTGCCCGACTTTCTGGCCCGACCACTCGAGGCTTCTGGCGAACAACAATAAATTCGTTCTCAAAACGAGGCTCTCACTTTGATGGCATGCCGCCCATGGGGACATCGTCCTTCAAGGAGGGCGCTCGCCGTGGTCAGAAGAGACGCTTGCAGGGACTCGTGTGCTGCAGCATCGTCAACTTATCCCGGGTTTACTCTGGTCTGCCCCGCCATCCTGTTCCCTCCACCCTCCTGCCTCCTGCCCCCACCCTCGCCTCCCCCTCCGCCCTCTACCCCCACACATCCCCCCACACATCCTCGTCCTCTTCTTCGTCATCATGTCCCACTTCTCCTCGCCATCGCTCGGACGTCCACTCCCCGTGCAGTCTTCGGTCTCGCGCGTGCACTTTTTCTCCGCAAGATAACCTCACAGACTCCTCGACGGCCCTTGCCGAGATACATGCTCACGCCAGAGCGATGGCACATGTGTGTGGTGTGTGTATGTTTGCGTGTGCGTGTGCAAATATGTGTGCGTGTGCTTGTGTGCCGTGTGTGTGTGTGTGAATGCGTGTGTGTGTGTGTGTGTGTGTTTGTTTGTGTGTGTGTGTGTGCGTGTGTGTGTGTGTGTGTGTGCCTGTGCGTGTGTGCGTGAGCGTGTGCTTGCGTGTGTGTGTGTTTGTGTTTGTGTGTATGTGTGTGTGGTGTGTGTGTGTGTGTGCGTGTGTGTGTGTGTGTGTGTGTGTGTGTGTGTGTGTGTGTGTGTGTGTGTCTCTCTCTCTCTCTCTCTCTCCCTCTCTCTCTCTCTCTCTCTCCTCCCCCACCTGCCAGCCGCCCCCCCTCCCGCCGCCCCCGCGGAGCACAGGCTCGGCCCCAGGGGGTAGTCCCAATAGGAGAAGAGCTTCAGGTGGCGCCGCCCCTCCTCGCGCGGGCCCCGGGCGGTCAGGGGGCAGGCGGGGGCAGCCTCCGCCGAGTGTTCCTGTCGCCGCCCGCGCTGCTCCTCGACCGCTCGCTCGCTCGCTGGTCCTCGTCGTGCTCCTTCCACCCTGCCGTCGTCGCCCTCGGCCTCCTGCTCCTCCTCCTCCTCCTCCTCGTCCATCGTGCTCCTCCCTGCTTCTCCTCCTGGGGTCCCGTCCTCCTCTTCGCCCTGCTCCGCCTCCTCCCGTCTCCTGCCTCCCTCCCCTCCTCCAGACGTAAGCTTAGCACAGGAAGTGGAGCTTACCACGTTGAGTCATTGGAGCTTCACTGCATTAGCTCTAAAAATAAGACTTCGGTGCATTCCCACTTCGGCCACGACGACGACGACGACGACGACGAGGAAAAACGACGACGACGACGAGGAGAAAGGACGACGACGACGAGGAGGATGGCCAGGAAGAGGAGGAACCGCGAGGACGACGACGACGACGGCGGCGAGGGAAAGAGAGAGGAGAGGGGCCCGCGCGGCGGCAGACGGGTCGAGAGCCCACCCCCGAACAAAAGCACACGTGCTCTCGGCGGCCGGCCTGCCTGGAGCTCTCGGAGCGGGGAGCGGCCGTCCGCCGGCCTGCCTGGAGCTCGTGTCGGGCGGGTCCCCTCCTCCTCCTCCTCCTCCTCCTCCTCCTCCTCCTCCTCCTCCTCCTCCTCCTCCTCCTCCTCCTCCCCGCGTGGCGACACCCCGCGGAGCGCCTCGTAACGCAGCTGCCGCCCGGGGAGGCGGGCTGGCGCGGGAGGAGCGCAATTCATTGGGGAAGAAGGAACCCTTTTCATTGGGGAGGGGCTCCGTCTTGAAAGATCAGGCGGCTTACCGAACGCCAGATTGTTCCGTTTGGCCGATCGTCGTACTGGCGGCGTTCACTTTGGAACGCCCGCGTCGGGGTCGCCACCGAGTCGACACGACGCGAACACACCGCAGCTGCTTTACTTGTTTCGCAGCTTGCCTCAGGTTTTCCTCAGGTGTTCGATCTGCCATCGAAGTTTCACTTATGGAAAACAGGGGCCTCGTTCCTCATTGAGGGTTCCTTAGGTCAACGCCCCGACTGTGCAGGGGGGTTCTCGACGAGAAATAGAAAGTACCCCAGAAATGCCCCAAAAGGGTCCCAAAAAGGTCCCCCAAAAAATACACAAAAAAAAAATTCCCCGTGCAGGGGGGTTCTCGACGAGAAATAAAAAAAAGTACCCCAGAACTGCTCCAAAAGGGTCCCAAAAGGGTCCCCCTGTAGGGGGACAGGCCCGACTGAATTCTATAGTCCTGCCACGACATGTTCTTAGAGCCCAAGAGTGTTCTAAGAACAAAAACAACGTTCTTAGAACATAAACCCGATTGTGAAAACAAGACAATATCAACCAGCAGTGCTCCAAGAACATCTCGTGGAAAGCAGGAAAGGGACTTAGAAAATTGCATGGTAGCGCAAAAAGGCGAGCCAGGACGCTTCGCCACTGCTTGCTCGAGGGAGTGGGGGGGGGCACGACACCTGCAGCCGGTGCCGGGAACAAGAGACGGCCCGGCAGGAGCAGGAGGAGCGAACGAACCCCTGGGAGAGGCGCGTCGATCTATCATGGGCGCGCACCGCCGTGCGCGCTCGGGCCAAGCCTCAGGGCGAGCCGCGAGGCCTGCATGTAGTTCTTGTGGTTGATGTAGGAGTTGTCGACGTGGTTGTCGATCTTGATCGAGTGGTAAAATCTGTAGACCACTGAGAGACGCACGAGCACGTGGTCAATCTTGTCGTCGTCGGCCCCGAGCGGGTCGAAGTTGATGTCATGCAGGCCTAGCCTGGCGAGTACACACTTGTGAAGTCGTCCGCGTGGCAGTGCAGCATGGTGCCACAGGCGCTTGCAGACCAAGTAGTGGCTGAAGGCGTCGGGGTGAAACTTTGGGTTGTAACCAAGAACACAACCGCGAAGGCCAGGTTGAACATGCATACGGTATGACGTGGCCCACCCGCCCGAAAGCGTCCTCATCACAGGCCAGAAGCGCGAAGGCGGCAACTCGGCGATCTTCGGGCGGATGCGGTTCCACGCGGGCTTCATGTTGTAAGGTAACTGGATGAGGGAGGTCAGATCGTTGTCGTCCGCGTACGCGTTGGTGAGGTCGTCGGTGATCAATGGAGTGGAGTCCGAGTCATTGTTCTGGAAATCGGCGTCGTGGATCCAGCGGCGCCGAGCGTGGTGTTCATTAGCTGCACGTTCGAATCTCTGCTGTAATTCGGCGGTGCGGGGAGGAGTGAACGCGGCGGAGGTCTGAAGTCTGGAAGCCGATGTTGATTGCCATGCCTGCGTACAGATGCGTTCAGCACGCCTGCGGAGCTGAGCGTCAGTTTGGCCACGGAAGAGGACACGAAGACCGTCACGACGAAGTAGACGAAGAATAAAGGTTTCGCACCATTCATGCCAATCGTCGACGTCCCATTCATGTAGCGGTTGAGCGAGGTAGATCGAAAGAAGCCAATCGGAGGCCCAGTGCTGCAGGCATTCCGCGACGGTCTCGAGCTCGTTGGCGGCGTTGCGCATGTCGTGGTCGTCATCATCAGGCGTGTTGGGTACTTGTAGATGAAGTGGTGGAAATCGTTGGAGGCGTAGTGAATCGGAGTTGGCAGCATGCGGCGCGGACGGGAGGGTGGGGAACCAGGCCCGAAGGCGGGCGGCGATGGTGGCGTCGAAGGAGTCTTCGTAGAGCACGCGCTGCAGCGTGATCATGCAAGTAGTCTGCGGTGACCTCTTTGGAGGATCATCGTCAGCACGGCGAAGTTTGTCCAAGACCCGATGAGCAGCCGCACGGGCGAGTTCATGAGCGTGGCGTAGCTGATGGTGAGCCAGATGATCGTGGCGGCGGCTGCGCTTAATGATCTTGAAGATGGTGCCCTTGTGGGTGGAGTAGTTGTCGCCAAACTTGGCCGCCCGTAGGTGCTGCGCGATCGAAGTAGCAGAGGCCCAGCATGGCGCGGTCCAAAGTCCCTGGGCAACTCGGGCGAGAGGGATCTGATCGAGTGCAGCAAGATGGTGAAGTGCGAGAAGCTGGGGCCAGACATTGATGGTGGAAGTAGCAGAACGCCACAGCGTGGCAGCCAGCAGGACTTCGACACCAGTGGGGATGGCGCAGCCCGCCCAGTTCGTCATGCCGAGGATGTCGAGCTTGGTGGATGCTGAAGGAGCAGATCTGATAACTTTGTGAAGAGCATGAATTTCTTCGGAAAGAACGAGTTCTGGAGCAGGAAATAGTTGTCCTACGCAAGTGAGGCAGGTGATCGCGGAGGAGTTGTACAGCGAAACGTTCAGCTGGATGGCAGCGGAGGCGTCGCCCAAAATCTGGGTACGATGGTATCACTTGGCCGCGGGGGCGGCCCATTGAGCTCGATCATCCGCACAGGGACCGATGTAGACTCCGAGGTACTTTGCCTTGCCGTCGATCTTGAACTGGGACCAGGCGGGGTTGATCGTTCTAAGCGTGTCGCGCATGGCGTCGTCAACCTCTTCGTAGCCGTTGGTCAAAACAG